TGTGTGGTGTGTGTGTGTGTGGTGTGTGTGTGTGTGAGTGTGTGTGTGTGTGAGTGTGTGTGTGTGTGAGTGTGTGTGTGTGTGAGTGTGTGTGTGTGTGAGTGTGTGTGTGTGTGGTGTGTGTGTGTGTGTGTGTGAGTGTGTGTGTGTGTGGTGTGTGTGTGTGTGTGAGTGTGTGTGTGTGTGAGTGTGTGTGTGTGTGAGTGTGTGTGTGTGTGTGTGAGTGTGTGTGTGTGTGTGTACGTATGCAAATGAGTAAAATTGTTGAGCACAAATAGGTTAACCTCATTTTTTTAATATGGGGGACAATTTGTATTGCTTTTATAACTGTGCTAACTAGATGATGCTTTTTTTCTTTATTGCATAATGCAGCTCCCTATTACATATGAAATTGTAAATCAGATTGATATATAATTAGGACAAAAAGAGATATATAAAATAAAATAAAAATATTTTTCATATTGAGAGTTGATATAGAGAAAATCAACAAATAATTCACAAAAAAAAACATAGCAATGAGAACCAGCAAGATAAAGACGGCAATCTAGTGTGACGTGTTGTGACCGGCTTGAGCATGCTGGCTGGTATCATTTCAGCTACACTGGATCGTTTACACAGATATACAATGGATTAGTTAGCAATAGCGTGGATTTGCAGTAGGTGTGGCTCTACTAACACTTCGACCCTCTCCTTCTCTCATTCAAGTTATTCTCCCCAAACACCCACCCTTACTCCTTCCCCCTCTCCCCCTCCCCCTTTCCCTCACTCCCTCCTCCCGCACTCCCTCCTCCTCCCGCACCCCCTTCTCCTCGCGCTCGTCCTCCTCCCCCTCTCCCGTCCCCCAAACCATGACCTCCTCCAAACACCTCCAACCTACGACTTCTCAACATTAACCTCCGCAACATTACTTCCAAGAAGACCCAACTCCTTCATGCTCTTGACACTTACGACCCGGACATCATAATGGGTAGAGACATGGTTGACATCAGACACAGACTGCGGAAATCTTCCCTCCCCCTTATAGTATGACAGTGCTACGTAGAGACAGGCCGACTGGCATAGGGAGAGGGGGTGGTGTCCTCATAGCCACTAAACCTGACTTAGTTGTTAAAAAATAGGCCAGATCTTGACACAAACTGTGAGATCACCAGGATTAAACTACACATTTCTAACTGTAAATCATTCTTGCTCGCCGCTTTCTACAGACTTCCTTCTCCCAACACAGAATACTTACAGAACCTTCGCATTCCTCCAGACAAACGCATTTGGATCGCAGGTGATGTCAATCGCCCCGACATCGCCTGGACCTCTACGCCCCCTTTTGACCCCATCGACGCAGCCACCCCAAACCCCATCATCCCCACACGAACAGGCGCTAGTTACACGATAACTTCATTGACATCATAAATACATTCGCACTCTCACAAGCAGTACTCAAACCAACGCGAGCGAACCTAAGTCACCACACGCCCCACTGGCGACGGAGGCCCTTCAACCACTGTCCACACGCTAGATCTCTTCCTCACAAACAACACATTCCATATAACAAACACCGAGGTTGTTCCAGGGCTAAGTGAGCACGACATCGTTCTTGTTGACGCAAACCTCCGACCGACCAGACAGAAACGCAGACGTGGACCTATTTTGTTCTACTCTAGAGCCGACACAGACTCGATCATAAGGGACATGACATCTTCTGCCCCAACTCTCGACCCCTCAAAAGTCACATCCTACAAAAAACACCTTCGAGTAGGTATACACTCCCCTGATTCTCCGGATTTCTACACAGATAACATCGAAGAAAACAGAGACTCTACAGACGCGCTCAATCATACAACACACTAAAAAATTGGACCAATATCAAAGCTTTCCCCAAAAAATGCCAAAAACATAAGGAAGGCCAAACACGAATACATCAGTATATATCTCGCAGACAATCTAAGAAACAACCCTAGACACTTCTTTAAGTTCTTCAAGACGCGCAGAAAGGACACCACAACATAGTTGCACTTAAAGACCACAACGTCACTTTTATTACCACACCAGAACACAAAGCTCATCTACACATAGTTCCACTCTGTCTTTACACAAGAAAAAATCATTACACCGAACATGCCAAACAGGAACCACCCACCCATCCCGACTCTAGACATCAGAACAAACGGAATCCGAAAATTGTTAGAAACACTGAACGCAAACAAAGCACGTGGCGCCGACAAAATCCCTTCCTTTTTCCTCAAAACCTGTGCCCCCGGCCTCGCCCCCATCCTCCAAATCTTATTCACACAATCCCTCAGGACATCCTCTCTCCCACCTGGCTGGCTTTGCGCAGACGTCACCCCTCTTTTCAAGGCAGGTGACCGGACTGACCCATTAAATCATCGCCTCATCTCCCTCATCTCCATCATCTCAAAAATCTTCGAACACATCATACATAAACACAAAATGAATCATCTTGACACTAACAATTTTAACTGACACAATAACACGGATTCCGACCCAAACGATCATGCAAATCCTAACCCATTGTTACTCATGACTGGACAGATTCTTCATTGAATAACAGCTTTTCTTTCAAACAGGACCCAACGCGTTCGCCTTGACGGT